TACTCAACAGAGCGATTCTTTGGTTTATTTTAAGTAAAAAAGTCCATATAAACATGTGTTCTAAACGGCTTAGTTTCCGAAATAAAAAAATTTAAACGTGTAGTAATAATCTGTTTATTTGAAAGAGAGAGAAATACAGCTTGAACTAGTCAAAAAGTAGTGAAAAACAGAAAAAAAAAACAGGCTTCAGTTCTTCTGATGAAATAAAACAATTAGATGAATTGTTGAAAATGTCCACATTGCGCCATGATACATCCATCGCCTTCTTCTCAAAGATTGACGTACATGCTCAAAGATACCAGGTGTATTGCCTCGCATGAAGCAACTATTCGATTCCTCAAATCATTCTCATTCTCAATTGGGGTGGTATAAACTAATGATTTCAGATGCCCCCAAAGGAAATAATCCAAAGGATTTAAGTCTGGTGATCTAGGAGGCTTTGACTTTGACTTTGTCACTTTGTTTGCGGTTGTGCGAATGGTAACTCACGTGATGCAAGGCATATTTATCCAGGATATCTCCAACGCAATTTACCGTTTCGTCAAACATTTGCGAACATTCACCTGTATTTCGGAAACTAAGCCGTTTAGGACACATGTTTATATGGACTTTTTTACTTGAAATAAACTAAAGAATCGCTCTGTTGAGTGTGGCAACATACTTAACTAATACCCTGTATATAGCGCAATATTCACTACTTTCATAAATTACACAGACAAATTTAGTTACAGAAAATTAAATAATATAATGAATAAATGAGTGCGAGAAACAGGATTGAAAATCAAGACGATTCCTGTTCTCAGTCATACCACTATAAAATTGAGAAAATATATTGCGCTATATAACCTCTTCTTTAATTTCATACGACTTGAACCGGCTTGAACCGTTCTTCTCATTTTCTCGATATAAACCGTACTTCGTATGCGTCCCGACATAGGCCGATCTTCACGCCTTATGCGAAATAGACCGCTTTTCATTCATGATTCATTTCTTGAATGACATAAACCTTTCTTCATGTTTTTCTCGACATAGCACCTTCTACAACTCAGGCGTCGAATATTCTTATGTGTATGATCTTATATCCCTACGCGCGCGATGCGTTTGGGTCTTGCGGATTTAAAATTATTATACCTCTTTGTTCTTCCAATAAAACGTTTCAATAGATGCGAGCGTGTAAGATATTACAATTGCTGCATTTACAAGCTTGACGTTGAAACATTCGCCGCTTCTTTCGCAAATAACACAGAAGAGTGAATAACTTTAGTAAACTTTATTGAAACTATTATAGAAGCAGTATGATTTATAATAATATATAAAAAAATTCGACTTTCTTCTTTACTCTTGCATATTTACTCGGGTAAAGTATAACTTTTTATTTTCTGTTGTTGCAAGCCTTTCTCTTTTCTTTTTTTTGTGATTAAGATCACGGCGGATAAATAAAACGGAAGCCAGGAAGCCACTACACTCTCGGAAAATATCGAACTCGGCCGCCGTTATGCAGGGTGGGCGCCGCGTCGCGCCGAAGAGAAGAGCGGCGGTTAAGGGGAGGAGAGCAATGACGAATAGAAATGCGCGAGAGAGTTGTAAAAAATAACGCAGTTAATTAGCAGTGAGACCACTTTAGCGGGCTCGCGCACACTGTTAACAAGCGCGGAGAATAACTCGCGCGGACGCAAAAAAAAAAAAAAAAAAAAAAACACCCTCGAACGCACGAGGCAACTGAAACTGACTGAAACGCTCTCGGAAAGAGCGAGCAGACTCCTTCCGCATCTGTTTACACTTGCCTCTCTTTCTCGCTTTCTTTCTCTTCTCTTACGATTCCCCACAAATTCTCTACTGGCATTTTTTCGTATTGAAAAAAAAAATCTTTTTCTCTTTTTCTTATTGTTAGCATCACGAGCGTGGATTATTCCATTTGCAAAGCGAAAATTTTATGTAGTATAAGTACAAGTTAATCAAATGCATATTGGTAACTGAATTGTCGCGCGGTTTCCAGCAAATGGCTGAATAAACTCGCATTCTTATGTATAAATGATGTAATTAAAATAACTTCCTTTTTATATTTGATTTGAGTGAATCTTATTAATTTAGAGATCAATTGTCCTCCTACACGTATGATACCAAAAGCTGACAATTAATATTATTATATTTACTAAAAAAATTAATCTGCGAGATACAAAATTGACGTGACGTTTCAAAATGTGCATGTTGAAAGATTTGTTTTATAATCTTTTTGGCTTGTCGCGCGATTAAAATGCTTGTCTCACGATTGTGGGTTTGCGTAATTCTGCGTGCGTGCGTGCATATCCAGGAAGAAGTACTTTCTTTAAAGAGAAAGAGAGAGAGAGAGAGAGAGAGAGAGAGAAAGAGAGAGATGGAAAAAAGTGGTGAAGATTTCGACCTTCACGAGCTGTCACACGCACAATCGCGAAAGATAGAGACGATTCTCTTTCCAGGATATAATCCCTTCTGTGGTCTCCCCCCTTTCCTGTGGACAATGATCTGAGCTAAGGAGAAATTGAATTTGTAACATCAGTAAACTGCGTGACTTTGCCGCTGCTCCCGCAATCAAAACTGAGTGAAAAACAGGAAGGGAATGAAGATGAGAGAGAGAGAGAGGTCTCCAACATCTCAGGAAAGGAAAGAAAAGTCTAAGCGGGCGAGAGATGAAAAGAGAGAGAGAGAGAGAGAGGGCGGATCGTGTTTCACGCCTGGCGGATCTTGAACCGTTTGAAACCCAGGTGGAAATAATACAACTTTGTGTTCCTTGTTAAGGATCAAAGGAAATCTACCCCCAATCTCGACGTCGAGACTCTTGGCTGGTCTCTCGCCGATTCTCCGTTTGCCTCTCTTTCGCTTTCTGTCCTTTCATGACCGAATGAAACTTAGACAAAACATTTGTTCACCATTTTATTTTACTTGATAGTTTTCAATAATATGTAAAATGAGATTGATGAAAGCTTCTTTGCTTTTTTTTTTATAAATACGTCAAATTATAATCTTAAACTGAATGCATTTCGAATGTTAAATGATTATGAGACAGTCAATTAAGTCAAAGTTGGATGTTTCAAATATTATATTATATATATTATCTATGTATTTATTAAATAATTTATTTCAGACATAATATTGCACGCCGATAACTTTCCAACTTTCAACACAATTAATCTGAAAACACTAATAATCCTTCCTAAATTATATTCCTAAATTTAAAAAATCTGTAAAGAACTTATTGCAAAAAATATTGTTTCAATCAGGAGTCAAACCTGGGACTTCTTGACTTCTCAGGCGGGGGGGGGGGGGTTTTTGGGCAATGTCAAATCATTATGTATTTACAATTATAGTCAATAATTAATTACAAATCTGTAAATAATAAGACAAAATTGTTTTACTTTTATATAATAAAGTCAAACAAGAGCAATATTTTGTCATATGATTTTTTTCATTTATTTACAGTTATTTATACAGTATCAGTATCATGCTTGATATTTTCTGTTTATTATATTTATTACTGCTTGCATCATATTTATATAAAGAACATCAGATAACTATATTTTCATAATAGATTAGACACAGAGACATATCAATATATTATTATATTGTGTGTTACACTTTGATATTATATTATTTGAATATAATAAATAAAAATCAGACTGGATGTTACACTGTACTTGAGATAATATATTTTTTGCATGTTATCCCAGATAGAAATTTTTCAAGTAATATTATAATAATTGTTAAGTACACTACAATAGTTGTAAATTATAAGCTACATAATTTTCTCTTTTCTTTGTATATCGTGACCTTTTGAACTGCAAAAAGAAATCATAAATTAGTTTCAAGTATCAAATAATATTTCATAATGTACATTCTAATGTATACTATTGTATAACAATTTATTAAAAATTACATATATATTAATTGTTATTAAAGAAAAATATATAATATATGTAAATGTTTTTATAGAATATATTAAACATTCGTATACATATAGATAATTATTTTATTCAATTATGTTCTTTCCATTATTATTGTAATTAATGTACATAATCTCATATGTATGTGTGTATAAATAATCACTTACTATAAGGATCAAAGGCTGTAAATTCTAATTTATCAGCTAATCTTTCTCTGATACGCACCAACCGATGACCGGTTACAACACTCTGTGTAAGGACTAAGACATGTCTATAATGAGATTAGAATTAATAAATATTTTTTAATCGTTAACATATTATGTCTAATCTCATCTTTTAATTGACACTTAGTAAATCAATTTTTTCATAAAATATAAATTATGGCACATATTTTATATTATTCCCACTAAAAATTGACATTTTTTTGTTTCGTGAATATACATATTCTAACCTTAAATTGTTGTTCGGTTTTATTGATGGCCTTACTTACTTGCTCTTTGCCTTTTTCAACAGTATGTTTGTCAGGAACATGGTATTTCAAAAATTTCTTTCAGTGCAACTTTGAAATTATGTGCAGTATACTGTGAATGAATGTCGCGAGATACAGTAAATACAACAATACAATTGATTCGCTCAACTTGAAAGAAGAGGTTAGAAATCGTCCAAGTCACACACACACATACACACACACACACCTTACACCCATATACATGTGCATATTCGCTGACACCAGCTAACAGTTTCATAAACATCTAACTGTCGTAAAGTTATCGCAAGATATTAACGCATATAATGAATCTTTCTTAACAATTACAGGCAATATAGCAATCTTTCATCGTTTTTGTACTTGTTAGTAAGGAAACATGTGCGATTAGTATGATATCGTTTTTTTTATATTTCGTCTACAATTATGTCTTTCTTTTCCTCTAAACAAAAGGCGCATACACACACATACACTTTTTTATTCATACACATATATACATATTTGTTCAATTTAAAAGTTGTAAACAAGCATAAATCAAAAAGATCATAAAAGTAAACTGGTGGAAACAATTTGAAATGTGTAAAAATTTTCAAAAGATGAAATTAGATATAATATATTATCAATTAAGAAATATTTGATATTAATTTCACAAACTACAATACTATAAATATAATTTTTTATCAAGTTTTAAATGTGAAATTAATAAATGCATTTAAATAAATCTGTATAAAGCGTGCATGTATAAATATACAGATTATATTTAATTTTATACACTATATGTAAGTATTTTTATTATAATTATAATTTATCGGATATACATAAACATAATTTACCCAGAAGTTATTTTTTTCAATAGCTTTATTAATAAACATACACACTAAAATCAGAGGCAATGCACAAATATTGTCAGCAGTTTTAATAAATATAGCAAACTTCTTATGTAATTTACTCTACTCTAATTTCTTAAGTAACAAATCCATATTGATATTCTTTTTTGAAAATAGTCTCACATCACAATATTATTCACATTAATCATCATTGCATTTTACTGAATAAACAATCCCTCAAATCAATATATAATACAGTAATTATAATTTATTAATATAAGCAATAAAATAAGAAAAGAAAATATAAAATGTTGCATATATATGTATATTCCCATTTGTTACATTTTATTTCATACTTCAGAGTTTCATATCATTTACTAAAAATACTCGCGAAGCGTGAAGAACAAATGGTAATGTCATAAATTACATATAATAAAATGCAGTCCTCTTTTTTTATCATGATATAGATGTAAATGTGCAAATTAAGATCTTCAAACTTAAGTAGTTTCACTATTAGGTAAAAATACAGAGATATCCAAAATATAATTTATCGGAATATTAAGACACTATCTTAACTTTATCATTGGCTAAAATTTCTAATCGATTAATCACTTTAGCAAGTTCAACATTTTTATCTAATTTCAAATAATCCACCTTCCGTACGTTATGTATACTGGCCCACGTAGGTAAAAGCTTGCACAGTTGTCGTATGTGTTCCTCCATTTCTTGTAACATTAATTTCGTTCTAAAAGAATTGTCTAACTTTTGTATGACTATCTCCAGTGGTAAAACGCCCTTCTTTTCTGTTACGAAAATATTGCGAATGAGCTTTGCTAATTCGGGAAGTCTGGAATATAATGCAGCCTCTTTGTTTGCGTTTGGTGTTCTCGTCATTGCTTCTAATGCTTTGGCTGCTTGTTTAGCACGAACCTATAATTATGAAAGTTCAGGAGAAGAAACAAGCGGTAATTAGTTTTTAAAACATAAATATCTCAAACGTGGAATGTCAACTACCTACTATTTCAAAGCAATTATTCTTACCTTTTCGAGCAGAGCCTTAGGGATGCCTTTAAATAATGTAGCGAAATGATCAGTTTGTATGGATGGCGTACTTTGTGGAGTGTCCACAATGGCAATGTTAACTTTTGGAATATCATCTTTTGTTTGAGTTGTCGAATCTTGTGTAGAAGGTGGAGATTTGGATTTAGTAGTTAAATTTGCTTCAGCAAGCCTTTGCAATGCCTTTTCCATACGTGTACCACAATTAAACAAAGATTTAGCTTTGTCTGTAAAAAAATAAATAACACGAATGAAAAAATATTCATGTGTAAATATCTTATAGCTGTGTTTTACCAGACCACATTAATTTAAAAAAAAAGAAGAGAAACCTACGTATTCTACGAATAACTTGATCCTTTTGAAGTGACACTTTAAATCCATTCTCTACAGTTAATTTATTAATTAAGTATTGGGTTGGGTAGCGCATAATGCGAGGATGTATAATGTAACTGCTTAAGTATTACGCATAAGCAGTACCTTTATACCGATTGCATTATATGCTGATTAATCAATAAAGTTTTGCAACAGCTAAAAACCGAGTTTCACAACTACGCAAACGCATTATTATTTTGCAATCTTTTGTGCAATTTTTTGTCCTACTTAAAGTTGTCATCCAAATTAAGACCATATTATATCACTGAGTGTGATACATGCATTTAATATACAATAATAAAACTATATAACTGCATTTTTTATATTATCCTGATAGCTTATGAATTTCTGTAGTAGGCATATAAATTACAATAATAGTTTCAATAGTTTTTTTTTTTATAATAGCAATGGAGAATAACAAAAATTTGTCCATACAAAATTCTTATTACTACCGTCAATGCCATAACTCTTACCAAGAACATCCCTAGCAGTTGGTTTTTCAACATAAGGTGGTTGTGGTAATGCAGCTTGCTCAATTTTCTTGCAAGATTCCACATCAAATTCAGGATGCCAACGTACTATTTTCTCTCTTGGTATATTCATTAATTTCGGAGTTTCAAAGGTCAATAAAAATCTTTCATGTTCATTCTTTACCCTCTCTGTAACAATAAATTTGAAGATATATGTGTTATATTTGATTGGTGATGATTAAATCCATTTGAAAAGAAAGAATAATACCTAATAGAGTATTATAAAATTTCTTCCTTCTTTCCAGCAGTATGGTAGGGCTCATACTACTTTCAGACGCAGTTTTTAATACATTATCTGCATCAGGCGTATTTCTCCCATTAATTTTTTCAACTGTAGGTGTTAGAACTAATTCGTATTTTTCTTGCTTGGACACTGAACCAAAATTTCGATGCTTCTCTTGATGGTATACATATGCATCAGGGTAAATGGTTTTTATTTGAGCTAGGTGCTCTTGTGTAAAATTACGACGTAGCAATTCTTGAACTGCAGGTCTCAGTTTATTAAATGTTATCAATTCTTTTCTGTTAAACAGCATTGCTGAAACCTAAAGGAAACAAAATTGATTGCTTGACATGTTTTATATCGAAAACCTAAATTTAAACGACAAAATAATTAACAAGATATAAAGTAAAAATTAAAGTCTGCAAAGTAAAAGTTAAAGTAAAAATACATATTAATAGATTCACAAGGTACTACCGTATCTACGCATCTAAATACTTCAGCTAGGAATCTGTACTCATATGGCAATACTAATCCAGATTCGGCGACTGACAGATATTTCTGATATGCCTTAATAGGACTGGATTTTCCTGGACTTGACACTGTTTCTTTAGGCTCAAACAAAATTTGCCTCTGGGGACTGGTTGTCTTTGACAAACCTCTTTCCTTGATTGGAGTAAGTAATCCTTTGATTGGGGATTTGTACGTCTTTTGTGGGCTTTGTATGGAGAAAAAAAGAAAGAAAATGATAGGACATCTACACACATATATATACATAATGTATACATTTGATAATTAAATTCACAAATAAGATCTTTACCTTACGGGTATTTCGAGTTCCACCTTCTCAAACTTTTGCATATGAGGTTTCTTAATCTCATCCTGTTTTTGCAATTGCTCCAATGTCAGATCATAGTTGACAAATTGTTGCATTCTAGCTTTCAGTTCTATCAATCTGGAAGATTTGTTAATTCTGTTTTTGATGTCGGTCAAGTTTAAATTATCATTTTTTACAAATCTCTCCATCGTCGAAAGAAAATCCTTTTTTGGCAAGGATGGAGTGAGAGAGCCATTGGCAGAATGTTCCTTTTCAGTTTCTTTCATCGCATTATTCTTCAATGTCTTCTTAGGTATCTGCAACTTCTTCGGACTAAGCGTACCTTTCTTCTCAAAGGGAACTTTTTTTCTCTCTGAGAAATCATTGCCCACCTTCAAAAAGCTATCTCTAATATCCACTTGACCTCCATCCATAGAGGGCAATGGACGAGAGCGAGTGGCTCGTGTTCTAGGTCTATTCGTTTTCTCGGGGATCGTTTTCGAAGAATCGAACTGGATGTTACGGACCGCTTTATTAGCCCGAACGCCTTCCTTCAACATCGTAGTAGCATTCTGCAACACGATTTTCGGACTAGTTCCTGCATTTGTCGGAGATTTCTCTAAATTCTCCATACTCATCTGCGTCTGATTATCTCGGTCCAGCAGCAAAACCTTCGACTTGGCACGTAATTCGTCGCACCCCTGCCGTTTGCGCGTATTAAAGTATGCCGTTACTGATGGTTGCGACATAGTTTCTTTTACGTATGTCGATCGACCGCAAACACGAACGAGTTGTTATTTTCGCAAACGTACCACGTACAACGTATTGCGTATCGTTACCCCCAATATAACCCTACCAAAGCCAAAGCCCGCCTTTTTAACTCTCGTTTAGATTCGTTGGCGCGAAACAACACCGCTAGACAGTTAGTCAGCTGATAGCAACTAAAAACGTTACTGACATTTGCAACATAAGTCTAGTTTCCATCGAGAATTTAAATCGAGGATTTAAACTGAATAAGAATGCTTTTAACACAATAGGCACAGATAACAGGAAATAACAAGTCGTCCAATCAGAGCTCTGGGATATAATATCGAACTTACATAGCAGAGCTCTGATTGGACGGCTCGTTATTCCCTGTTGCCTGTGTCTATTGTGTTTAAGCCTTAACAACCAACCAACTCGAGTATTCCTGTTACAGCCAAACGACAGGGGAATACTCAATTGTAGTTGGTTGTTGGCTAATTCTTACATTCTGATCCGGTTTCCGGTTATAAATCCTCGGTGGAAACTAGGCCATAGACTAACAATGATGAAGATGCGCAAAATAGCCAGATTATTAAGCCGGAGTGAAAAGCAGGCAATAGGAACAGGTTGAGTCTCTAGAAGTAGAGACTCTACTTTGCTGAGTTCAGATTCTCATTCGAGTGTCACCCAGGTATCACTCCATCCTTGCTGTTTATCGTACATTAGACAAGGATGACATGACACTTGGGGAGCACCTAGATGGAAATCTGAACAAGCCTCTTGAATTGAGTTGAACGTGTGTTACAACGTCTCACCACGATAAAAGGTCGAACTATTAGGCGTGAAAAGTAACGTTTCGACGACGAAATTTTATGTTACGTACCATTTCGTTATTATGTGCTTAATTGTGAAATTGTGACTTGTCTTGTACTTATATAAGTAATTATTGAAGAAAATTAAAGTTATCTTGGAATTTTATATGTAAAAGCGTATTTTTCACTCGTTTCAACAGTTGTTAGATCAACAACAGTTGTGTTTCTGCCCGACTATAGGCTCGTTTTACCTGTCCTTTACCACTATTTGCTGACTATCACCGAAGAAAAGGACAGTTTTGTTCGATATTTACAAATGTTTTAAAGTGATCTCGTCATTTAAATTTTCTAAATTGTCTCTATTTACAAATGGCACGTAACATAAATTAACGTGTCATTCCTCGCTTCTGACATCACGATTCCAATATAACCGCGGAAACTACTCAGAAGCCTTAACCTCTAAAGTCTTACAAGTGACTCGGTTTGTACAAGTTAGTGAAAATCATTGTTAATAGTAAAAGTTAACATCATAAAATGTAAATAAAGAAAAAAGGTAAGATCGTAGAAAAGTATTATACTTAGGAAAGTACATTGAGGCCAAAATTTGATTGTTTCCATAATTGCTATCGCCATTATGTGCAATGATACACCTGATATTCTTATATCATAGATCATAGGTTTAAACAAATTTAATTTTTTATAGTGCGTGATAAAAATTTTGGAATGGCTAATATTAAAAAAAAATATTGATTTATGTAAAAAATATTTGAAACAAAAGTAATAGAGTTTAGACTATCAGAAGTGGATATTAATTTGATCTTGGAATAACCTTGCAAAATGAAATCACTTTCCAAGGTCATCCCAAGATCAAATTAATATCAACTTCTGATGGCTCTTCTTAAGCCCTAATTTGTTTTAAACATTTTTTACATAAATCCAATATTTTTTTATATAGCCGTTTCAGAACTTTACCATGCATTATAATATTAAATTTTCTGGAGCCTACGATCTATACATCTTGCCTTTTTTTTTAATTTGCACCTTATGCTGTCAACTTTTTTTTGATATCAAGGATTTTCAATAACTCGTACGAACTGAGATGATTTCTTGTCAAACTTTAACGCTTAATAACTTGATTCATGAGGTCAACTGCTACGTTTTTCTGCCAATTTCTTTTTTGTTTTGAGTGAAAACACATCGAATGAATATATATTTTTATTAAGATTTTAATAGAGAGGTATTCTAAATAATTACCCAGATGATTTCTATTGTAATCAGATTGTGTTGGTTATCATTTATTAATAAGCTTATATATTTTATATATATTTCATATTTAGCAATCTTAATTGATATTTTATTTTTTAGATAATGAATATTGCAAGAGGAATGGGGCTAACCTTTAATAGAATAAATCACTTAAAGGAATGCTTATTCTCTCCTAAACATTTATTGTACACAAATATAGGGATATCGATTTCGCTTTCTGGCATAGGGGATGTTTTAGAACAACATTATGAGATATTAAAGGTTTGTTAACCGTACCCTTTAGTGATAGGATATTTGGATAATTTTGATATTGATATTCTCTTTAGGGCAAATGGGATAAATGGAGTTTTACCAGAACGAGAAATATGTCTGTTTCTGGCGTGTCTATTGGGATAGTTTGTCATTACTGGTATAATTTTTTAGACACTAGAATGGCTGGACGTACTATTGGTATAGTGTTAAAAAAAGTGATTATTGATCAGTTAATTTGCTCGCCTCTCTGTATAAGTACATTTTTTTTTACACTGGCCTTGATGGAAAATAACAGTTTGACAGAGTTTAAGAATGAAATTAGGAAAAAAGCGCATAGACTATATATAGCTGAATGGATTATTTGGCCTCCAGCACAAGTTATTAACTTTTATTTCCTTCCCACACGATACAGAGTACTTTACGATAACACGATATCTCTAGGTTATGATATCTATACTAGCCATGTAAAATATGATGTGGAAACAATTAGTAGATAATGTTATTTTAATTAGTAAAATATTTTTATAAAATTACAAATATAATTTAAGTAACAAATCAAATAGAACTTATTTGCCAGTTCATTGAGCTGCTTTTACTATGTATATATATTTATAAATATATATAATAAAATATATCAAATTTCTAAAATTGTAAATCTAAATTGCAAAGTATAAAATACAAGTGAATAGACAAAATGATAACTGTATTTTCAACTTGATTTTAATCGAATAGAAAATAATTCTAGTGAAAAATATTTTACACAATCACATGATAATTTTTTAAATAGGCATGATATGCAATTTATTTTATTTTTCATCACATTTTGTTGTAAGAAAAGCGTAACATCTATTTACTTAATTAATCTTCCCTTTACTTGGGCTATGATATGGAATTTTCTTTCGTACATGTTATAATACTGCTAATATCTTTGACTTATTTTGCATGAGGATGACATTTGCATTTTTTAAAACATTCCATCGTGAATGCCGATAGGTACTAACACAGCTGTGAACAGCAACAAATTGCGAGCTACCAGTTTCCAATCATTCGGTACTGCATAAGGTGCCAAAACGCGAGTCAATCTATGAATCTAGAAAAAAGAATCTCAATAAGAAAAAAAAATTGTTTTTTAATTATCGTTAAAATTATAATTGCAAATATCAGTTAATATAAGAAATAATCTGTTTTTCTTACTTCGTGACTGGCGCATATGAAAATAAATGACGTAACCAACAGGTTTAATACAGGGAATCTGGGTAACAGTACAAGTACTCCATGCGAATCTGCTGCCAACCATATATGGCCTTGCGCAACCAAAGTTTCCAAACTTATTCTACCCAATCCAGCTAAAAGTGCAGAGTGTTTTCCCCGTAATGCCAATGATGCATTTCGAAGAGCAATATATCCTACAATCTAACAGATTACATTAATAATGAAATAACAATATAAAAAAAATAAATATAAGAGAAATGGTGAAAAATATAATATGATGGAAAGGATAAATAATAAACGAGCAGTTTACCGGAATGAACGCAACGTAAGAATGAATTTCCTCGCATTCTGATACAGAGTGACACAAAATTGTGAAAGTAGTATACGCTATTAAGGAAATTAATGCCAGTATAGAAGACAATGCAGTGCCTGGAATGTGATCTATTCTCTGAAGAGCGACAAGACCAGCTCCGAAAGTCAAGCCCCAGACTACGCTGTATCTGTCGACTCTCCAACGAGACCACCATTCACGGATATCGTCATCAGTTGTCACGAATAATGCTTTCCAGGGCCTCGTGACAAAAACTTTCTCAAAGAATACCTGCGTTAATAAAACGTGTTATATTTTAAATATATTTTCCAGAAAAAAAATTTTTTTTACTACCTCTGACATATATAATACGGTAATTGTTGATACAAGACCCAAAAGTTTTAGAGCAAAGTATAACAAGGCTCTCGGTCCATATTCTGTTAAACTTCCAGAATATATTCTGGGTGGTAACCAAGCTAGAAAGTAAATTATCAAAAACCAAAATGATACCAATGGTACGAAGTGATAAAATTGATATGGTCTGTTCATGCAAAGGCATAAGGATACTGTCAATAAATTTAATCGAAACATGACCTGAAACACAAACAGATTTGATTCCACTGACGAAAATATGATTTTAATGACTTAAGTTTAAGTTGCGTTATAAAACTTTATTTTTCTAACTTACTCTAGCAAATCTGACAAGAGATACGTCGCCAGTTTGCCAAAAATAATAAAAGTGTCCATATCCAGACAAGAATAAGTAGGCAGAATTAATCAATCTTAAATACATATAAATCGGTAAGACATTTTTGGCACCAGTAACATGGTATATGAGCACAACCGCTTGCATTAAACCTCTCCATTCATCCGTTTGTTCTCTATTTAACACTCTCGGTCCTCTCTCGCGATCTTCAGTGAAAAATAATCCAAGAGCTAAAATATAGCCAAGTGGTAGCCAAAAACTGAATTCACTGTAATATTTATTCTCCTTCATGAAAAAATTTGTTCTAAAAATGATATAAGAGAGCAGAGAATTATTAAAGCTATTGCAATAGCTATTTAATAAGACAAGATTACAAACATCGGCAAGCAATTACTTACCTGTCGCATAAGTAAAAATATGCTAATATAATCGAAAAGAGAGCCAGTGATGTAATGAGGGTGTAGAAATCTTGTACCTCAGGTTGCTTAATTTGAATGACTTCCGAAGTACCTGCTTCTTCCGTGTCACTTACTTCCTCAGTGGTAATATGAGAATAGGATACTTCGGAACGATATCTGTACAATTTTCTATACAGCCATACACCTCCTCCTATTGTTACGCTATAAAAGATTATTTAAAAAAAAATTGTTTTCATAAGAAGAATAAATCATCGAATTAACGAATTACAAATAAAATATTAGATACTCAATTACAATAATGCAAGCGCAGATAGAGTTAACAATTGTAAAGTAGTTGCTGGTTCGGGATAACTGCAACAACTGCCATCATCGAAATTCATATGATCATTGCAATATGTATTTAATAGTATTTGAACTTTATGCCGAAGTGACAATGGACTCGCTAAATAACCATCTGGACTTTGTTCAAGAACACCCGTACCGACTAACTTGCTGCTTTGCCATATACGAGCCTCACTGTGAGATAATATCTGTATGCAGCGATTATAGAATATTTATCTTTTCCTTTATATTATCAGGTAAACATATCGTCGACGTTACCTTTTCGGCTGCTTTATTGCACAAGTTGATCTGTTTATTGTCTAAACTCGACAATTGTGCGGGCAGTCTTTCTTTAAGTACAGGATCTTGTAAAAGCCATAGAAATTGAGAATCCTTTTTAGCCAAAAAGTCTATCGGCTGTACTAGTCGAATCAAACCTGTATTGTATTCCGAATAAAGTTGCGTATCACTATTATTATTTGCAAGAATCACAGCTGCAGCAGAGCCTGCGACAATTACACTAGGTGCATTTGCCTTCTATAACAAAGATAAATATAAATTTCACTATTTCATCCTCTGATTCAAACTCCTTATGTATGTATTTATATAATTTATCTATTTACTTATTGTATAATATACGTATACATATACATGTACTATACCATCCAGCCTCTAAGATCTGTTGTCATAGAATTATCAAGTCGTGGCCTCCATAGAAATTGTACATTCAACTTGAGTTGTCCATCATTAAAGCCCAAGTCGGAGTTTTCCGGTAGCTCCGTAAGATCGGATATTTTGCCATCAACCATAAATTGCGAAACAAATGATTTATATAATTGCCTTACCCTAGCATCACCGATAAATACAAAATGATTATGGTGGCCCATGAAAGCTAGATATCTCATACATCTTCTGCTGTCTCTGTAAAATTTGACGTAAATTTTTTCTATATGAAAGTTACTGTTTCTTTATAAAATAAATTAAAAATAATCTTACGTTTGCGTATAGTGGTGCATCATGCAGCCGTATGGTTGCCATTCCTTGTCTCCTTTGTATCTGCCTTCTGTCAATAACCATTTGCAAGAATCGCTACCTATGACAGAAGTTAATAATCTGTTTGTATATGCGCCAATAGTAAATTACTTGTATCACTAGAATTAAAAAATAAAAAATATAACATTGCAAAAATTGTTTTTAATTTTATTGCTATTGTTAATTTTTATTTACTTTGCAGATGTTTCCACCAGATATTTACCATAAATAAGATGTATGACACCATGATATATAATAAAACAGACAACAAGCGCAGTAGCTAATTTCTTTGCACTTGTTACTGTTATAAGACTAATAAAATATTCGGCCGATGTCATGAAGGGATCCGATCGATATATATATATATCTCGATTACATTGACACTGCAAAATAAAATTGTAGGTATACTTATATAACTGTATACCTATTTACATACATACATCAGTAATATCTGAATTTTGCATACCTAATAAAGCCCCATAAAGCGGGATGCTCCGCTCAGAGAGAAATTGTATTATTGCAATTGCCCTCCGATATAATGCAACAATCCTTTCACGTTACGAGAGAGTGAAACTTATCTGAATTCTTATCGTTGTACAAATAATGTCTCCTGAAGTACTATGCGGTCATAAAATGATTTAACTTTTATAACTTGTTTAGCATGTCGAACAGCATAACAAAATGATTTGTATAAAAATATTGCAAACTTCAGCTTTAGTGCGATCTTGCAATTAATGCGGTAAAGTAACATCACGCATTATTCACATTTCACATCACCGTGCCGGGTACAAGTATATATCGATACAGGCGGTACACCAGTATACCATACCAACCGCAACCGCAACGCCAACTGCAATAATACAATTGTGCTGTATTGCTGTATCGCTATATGGTGCTGCAGCTGCTCACTACTGCAGTACAAACTGTTACAAGTGCAAATAGTGCAAATAGTGCAAATAGTGCAATGCAAAGGCAAAGCAGCTAAGCATTCGCCGAGCGATCAAACATGATTGGTTCTTACTTTTTACTTATAGATCCAATGAAAACGGTGTTTGAATGCGCGATGGCGCACATCTTACACCTATAGCACACCTATAGTAACCTATAGTGTTCGAGTTCCTGTAGTAAATAGTAGCAGGTAGTAGCACCAAGTACTGCCAAGTAGCACCCCGCAGCCTCAGCATTGGGCAGTAATGGCAGCAATGGCAGCATTGGGTGGCATTGGGTGGCATCGTCGGGATTGGCCGCTGATTGGCGGCCGTGCGTTTTCGTGACATTTGCGATTGCCTGCGATTCGATGTCTACCTCGGTCGCTTCTGATCGCCTTGATTCGCCTTTACTATTGCATAGGTCATATGATTCTGTCAATCGGTCTTATGCGAAATTGACAAGTTGTCAGTGTGCGACAATTATCATTCCTGTCAGCGATTATCGGGCACGTTTCACGTATACGTATATACGTATGCGAGTGAGAGTGAACGGCAGAAAACACGGCAGTTAACGACGCAGGTTCTCCGTGCTCCGAGAAAATGTCACTTTTTGGAGTAAGCAATCCCTTTTCTACGCAAGTAGGGCAAAAGATCGGTAAGTACCCTTTATTATTTCTCATTTTTGATTGTCGTATCGAATTGTATCGAGTATACGTGTTTCGCGTCTCTTCTATTCCTTTGAAGAATTATTAGAGATCCATTAATTGACGAGGATTTCCAAAGTGCGTACTCGAAACACGATTTCACTTTATTTTATTAATTATCAATTTAATTATGATCGATAGCATTGTTGCATATTAAACATTCTGAATAACAGATCTATACGCTCGTAGCGAGTCGTCGTCGTCGTCGTCGTCGTCGTTGTCGTGGTCGTCGTCTGTAGTCGTCGCCTACAGTCGTCATTAGTGTGGTTTTTTCTTTTTTGTCATTTCAGAGTCTGCTACAGATGGTAGCTTACCCAGTGAGAATTGGACGCTTAATATGGAGATATGTGATATTATAAACGAAACTGAGGATGGTCCAAAAGATGCTATTAAAGCTATAAAACGCAGACTCAATCAGGCAGCAGGCAAAAATTACACCATAGTCATGTATACGCTTACCGTTAGTATTATAGATCATAATGATACTGCTTATATAGAATCATGTTCAGTATAACAAAGAATATATCTATAATAGTTTGCTTTAATTGAGTATTTGCCGCATCAGCCACGTGAATTTTTGTAACAATAATACAATAAGTAAGTGCCGCTTTAATCAAGTGCCACTTGACACTTTTTGATTTGGACAATTTACGAGAATAGTGCCACGTCGATTGACAGT